CACCATAATGGCTTTATGGTGAGTTTTTGTTTCTTTGTTTGTTTTATTTGTTTGCTTATTCTTCTAGTCTATTTCCTGACTTTGGACTATATATTAAGGCTGAGCTTTCTGCATTTCTGGGGAGAATCTCTGGGCCGCCTCTGCTGCTGCTTTTTGAGGATATTGATTATTGTGTTATTTTAGAGACTCAGGGACTGCTCATCCTGGGGACCTACAAGTTTTCAGTGTTCCCAAAGCTGTCTGATCCAGAGCAAAGTTTGATCACTACCCAACTGAGCTCTGAAAGTTCCAGACCCAATTTTGGATCTGAGCAAAAAGGCTGTGGAGTTGCTTTTTTAAGGAATTCAGTAGATTGCCACAGATATCCAACTGGAAAGCTCCCTGGTTCAATGACAGAACTGTAGCTTTCCTTTGGTTTAGGATTCATGCCTTGGTTATACCTTTTCAGGCTTCTACTAGACTACTCGATGCAACTGAGACCTCATTCTCCTCCTAGGGTTTGAGTCACACAGCTGTTACTTGCTTCTTGCTTTGTACACAGCTAAGACCCACCACAGCTTCTCACCCTGGCAAGAATGCCTTCTTCAGTCCCCCTCTCATCTATGACCCAGAACTAGGTAGTGAGCAACAGAGCTGCCAGTTGGTACTTATTCCTTCACCCTTTATAAGTTTAATCCTCTCTTTGCTAGATGCAGAACCTCTTCTTGTCCTGGGATGCTCTGCGGCACATGGTCCTAGTCAGACCACATCCCCAGTGTTCACAGACCTCTCTGTCTTCCTATACTTCTCTGGACTAGAAAAATAACCCACTGTGATTTGTTAACATTGGATTTCTAGAGCAAGACTCTGTCCAGTGAGTTTCCTAGATCTTTGTGGGGGGTGGGTGGAGGGTGGCTATTCTAGTCTTCCTATTACTCTACTGTCATGCTCACTTGTCCCTTTCCTTGATTTATGAAAAAAAAAACTTAGTCATATGTCTTTTCCCCATTTGGCAATTGGGCACATTTTAGAGAAAGCTTGTCAAAATGACTAAAGCGGGGGGGGGGGAGAGAGAGAGAGAGAGAGAGAGAGAGAGAGAGAGAGAGAGAGAATACATAGATTGTAGAGTCATCTACAGAGAGATATAGTTATACCTAGGGGAACTGGTGAGGTTATCAAGACAGAGGGTGTAGAGGTAGTAGAGGGCCAATCTTGGAACCTTGGAGAACACTAGTAGTTAGGGACATGATCTGAGTGAGGAACCAATACAGGGGACTAAGAAGGGACAGTTAGGCAGAAGTGGGGCACAGGAAATAATCATGTCATGAAAGTTCAAAGGGAAGAGAGTATCCAGGAGGACAGAGTGATCAATAGCAGTAAGATTGAGAAGGATGAGGACTGAGTAAATATCATTAGATTTGGCATTTAAGAGATTTGAAGGAGATTCAGTAGAGTGGTTGAGTTAGAAGCCAGATTGCAAAGGGTTGAGGACTGAGCAGCAGGAGAGAAAGTAAAGATGAATATATACAGTTTTGTTAAGGAGATGGCTGAGAAATGGAGAAGAGATCTTGGACAATAGTGGTCAAATGCAAGGTGGCTTTAGAGAGAGGGCACTCACAGTTGATGGGATTCAGAAATGAATGTAGATCCCTGTAGAAACACCAACAAATATTTTCCATTCCGTGCTTATTTTATTGTACCCTTCCAGCTTCATCTACAAACTCTCTTAGTATGATCTTAGTTCATCTGGATCTTGGATCATACTTCCTGCAAGCTCATTTTCCTCTCAATTGCTTTTCGTGGTTTTCTAAGAAAATATTATCTATAGTTTTCCATATTCCTCTGTAAAATTTTGCATGTGAGTTTGTTCTTTAAACTGGTGCTACCTTTGGCCACTTTATCTCCCCACTTGCCGAGAAGACTGAGTGCTAATGGTGGTTTATGGGCTCTTTCAGACTCTTTGTTCTGGTGACTGTTTCTCAATGGTTAATCTTCCCTAAGAAATGGTGATTTTTCAAAGTCTTTACTTTTTTTTGTTTCCCATTGTTTTTCAGAGCCATCAGGTTTATTGAGAGCTGCTGTAATCACATGTCATATTGTCTCATACTTATCCTTTCTTTTCACTTGGCATTTTAATATTTTACTCTAGCTAGTTGATGGTCTGACTGCAAAGAGGCAGCTGATTGTGCAATGACTCTGTCACCAGGAGCCAATCATTTTCTCCCTAGAATTGTAACTCCTGTGTCAGAGGCTGTGGCAATAGGAAGGGTCCAGGTGTATTTGGGGGTATTCTCAGTTCTCTGGTTTGCAGTAACTCATACCTGACAGCTCCCTGTACCTTGGCACAGGTTTCTCTCAAAAGCATTATGGCACTAAGAAACATCATGGTGTGGTACAGTAGTGTCCAAATAGAAATGGAGCCCTCCAGTGGAATATTGACTTAGAAAACCACAAATTAATATTATCTGTGTCACATTGTATTTTTATTTATTTTGTTAAGCATTTCTGTATTACCCTTTAATCTGGTTCAGCCTGCACAGGTCCAGGGGTTTTGTGGCCCTGCCAGCAGGCAGGTGTAGTGGACAGAGCACTAGACTTGGAATCAGAAGCAGAGTTCTAATCTCACCATAGTCACTTAATAGCCATATCACTTTGGGCAAACCAACTAACCTCTCTATGCCTCAGTTCCCTCTACTATAAAATGAGGAAATTGGACTGGAAGGCCTGTAAGGTTGCTTTTGTTTCCACTTCTATGATCCTTCTTGTTATTTGTCCTATCATAAAGTCAAGGAAGGAGAAAATTGAAATAATGAAGCAAACAAAATAGAACCTAAAAGAGCATTTAGAAAACAGAATGACACCCATTCCCAAAGCTCTCCATTGGGATTCTTATCCTTTTCTGTGTCATGGACCCCTTTAGCTATCTGGTGAGACCTATGGACCTCTTCTCAGAAAGAAAATAATTTTTAAATGCATAAAATAAAATACAAAGGAAACCAATTATATTGAAATGAAGATATGATTTTTTTCCCATTCAGGTTCACAGACTCCCTGAACCTCAGTTTAAGAACACCTGATCTGAATAGATTCTAAGTCCCTTATAAGAAAGGATCCTCTCCTTTGTGTATGGATCTTCCAGTGTTTACAGTGGCCTTCATTGGAAAACACCAGACACTGCTCTCTATCAAGGCCAAAACTTTCCCCATTATTAGTCAGGCACAGTCTTTGCCGCCCCCAAACAAGGCCTCAAGAGTTAGGTCACAGAGGCAGCTCTACCAGGGTTTTAACTTGAATCCACCATTTGTGCTACTCCGACCAACCTCTTCCTCACCAAAGCTTGCTCAGAAAGCAGGACTCTGTTGGCCTCCAACTTCAGCTCCAAATTTAAATATGGTGACTACACATCTTGATGTCCTATTGTTCTCTGATGCTAGAAAGGAAGTTGAGTTGTTTGTCCTTCGTTTTTGAAGAGGACCAAGAACTTCAAGGGTGATGTCTAGATTTCCTACTGAATTGGATTTAAGTGAGGCAAAGTCGCACAAAGTCATCAGTCTAGTGGCAAGACAAAAGTCAGGATGGCTGGTAATGGCCCAGGAGGCAGTAGATGACCTTGGTGTTTTTAATGTCTGACCAAGCTTTAAGTACTACACATTGCCCCCTTCACCTGCACTCATGGCTTTTGGAGCAAATTGTTCTTATCTGCCCATTGTGTTAGGGAAAGTCTTCATATGCTTGGGGTAGACATCCCCCTAACTCACCAACAGGTTGAGGACTCTTGGCTGCCCTCAGCCTGGTTTAACCCATCTGCCAAGACAGTTTCCTAGCGTGTGGCCACTGAGCATGCTGCAGCTTCTTGGAGCCTCAGGTGAGAGTTGGGTGACTAATTGGGCACCAAAAGTGGATGAGTAGCCCTAAAAATGGCTCCGCAAGCCCTTACACCAGAAGCACTAGTCCTCCTGAACATTCTATACACCTCGACCAGAGAAGAATATCCCCTACTAGAGGAAATACTCATTCCTAACTTATTTCTCCCTAATTATCTCTTACAATATTAAAGAGTCCCTTACATACCTGGGTAGGATAAGTCAAGGTATCTAGGGGAGAAGCTGGAAAGTCTGAGCCATCTTTCCATTTATCTGCAAGTCCCTTTGGTCTGGGGCAGCTGGGTAGTACAGTAGATGAAGTACTGGATCTAGAATCAGAAAGATCTAAGTTCAAATATGGCTTCAGAGGTTTACTAGCTGTGTAACCCTGGACAAATCACTTACCCCTTGTTTACCTCTGTTCCTCATCTGTAAAATGAAGATAGAGAAGGAAATGGCAAACTGCTCTAGTATCTTTGCCAAGAAAACCTCATGCTGGGGTCATGAAGATTCAGACATGATTGAGCAACTGAATAACAACCACCTTCTGTCTTGCATCATTCGTAGTGAGAATGTCAAAAGGATATGGTTTGATTTCAGCAGTGGTGTGTCAGCTCATTGGTTATAGAATAAAGATCACTGTGTAAGTGGAAGGGGATTGAGCACTGTTGGTATTATCTATTTCATGACTCCATGGGATCAGCTTTCTCCTTGAGCACAGCCGGTAGATTCTCAGTCTACACTTGAAGCCATTCCATCTTGGTAATACTTGCTAGAGCTTCTACTGCCATAGCTTTAGAGAAGTTAGGTTCACCTCCACACCGAAATGATAGGGTAGGAATTGTGTGCAAGAATAGATTGCACTTTACTTATATGCACTTGGTCAAAATAGTCAGGAAAACATTTGAAGGGAGGAGGTGGTTTAGATCATTGAAGCAAATTATGCTTTCTCCCCTTCACTCCTCCCTGAAACAAAACCTAAAAAAAAAATCGGCCTATTTTCCCTTCAACTTCCATGCAACCCTTCAATGGAATAGGAAGGATCATGGCTAATTGAATTCAGTGGATCAAATCTCTAGTTCCTAATATGCATCATGGTAGGTGCCATCATAACTAGTACTGACTAATCCTAATTCCTGGTTCTCTTTTGCCTTGCAGGGCAGCTGTGTTGTGGACTTTTTGTGATACTGCTTTATAAAAACTACTGGTTCCTCTATGTCCCCTATTTGGCGTGGCTCTACTTTGACTGGAAAACCCCAGACTCAGGAGGCAGGAGGTTTGACTGGGTCAGAAATTGGACTGTTTGGAAGTACTTTAGGGAATATTTTCCAATGCAGGTGAGTAATGTATTTTATTTGTTAGAGGATTTGAGATGGGCAAAGAGTAGGAGAGCAGTTTTTCTACCTGTCTTTAGAACTTTTCCATTTTAAGACAAGGCAGTTTCTAATCTTTTCACCTGAATATTCCCAGGCAAGTCACTTAATCTCTATGGGCCTTTATTTCCTTATCTACAAAATAAGAAAGTTGAATTTGACCTTTTAAAGTCCCTGTCAGATAAAAGTTCCTATATTCTTACATTCCTGAAGCACATAATTTGGCAAACCTGTTACTAAATTGAATCTGCTGCTGCCAAAATTTAGAGGCCAAATATGAATAATGAAGAGGCAATGTAGTCAGTAGGGAGTCATGTCAAACTCAAATAGAGATAGAGACCACTAATCTGTACATAAGGATCCCCGAAGGCCTCATATTGGCTTAGATTTTACATGCAATATTACCTATGTTTTATTGTGTTTTTCCTTATTTTGCTAAATATTGGTGTTGTGGAGCACAACAAGGGGCATTGTGGTTGATACTTCTGCTGTAGAAGATAAAGGGCTGGGCATGTTACAGTGAAAAAACCACTGGATTGGGAGTCAGGAAGACCTGCTTCCCTCACTGCCCATGGGACCTTGAACAAGGCACTTACCCTCTCTAAATTTCAATTTCCTCATCTGTAAAATTAAGGGTTGGTTTTGGTCACCTCTGAGGTCCCTGCCTCATAGCTCCAAATCTGGGATCCCAAGCCTTGGGTTCAAGCTTCTGACACATACTTAATTCTCAGTGCCCCAGATCAGCTACAGATCTTTTAGAAAGTAGTTTCCATGCCTGTGAGTCCCTGAGCAGATAAAAATCGCAGGATTCCCCTTACCTCCAGAATAAGTATGTATTATGTATACATATTTATAAGGCAGCTAGATGGTGCAGTGGAGTCAAGAAGACTCATCTTCCTGAGTTCAAATCCAGCCTCAGACACTCATTAGCTGTGTGACTCTAAGTCATTTAACCCTGTTTGCCTCAGTTTCCTCATCTGTAAAATGACCTGGAGAAGGAAATGGCAAACCACTCCAGTATCTCTGCCAAGAAAACCCCAAATGGGGTCATGAAGAGTTAGACAGGATTGTAAAAACAACTCAACTAATACATATTTATATAAAGCTCTCTAATTTTTTACTTTTGAAGTCAATTTTATTTCATAGCAATTTAGAGCTGAAACGGACATCAGAGATCATCTAATCCAATCCCTCCATTTTACCGATGAAGAAAGTAAGGTCCAGAGAAAGGGAAATTACTGGCCAAAGCTCATACAGGCAGTTGAATAGCAGAGCCAAGATTCATTCTCAGATCCTCTGATTCCCAAGTCCCTTTTCCTTTTTCTCGTGTTAGCCTTCGTTCCTTTAAGAATTAAACACTTCTTCCTATTTGTGACTGGCAACTAATAAGGTGGTGGGGGCTCTGGGGGCTACAGTATCTTTGCTTCCATTTGAATGCTCTATAGCTCATCAAAACAGTGGATTTGGATCCAAGTCACAACTATATATTTGGATTTCATCCCCATGGAGTGCTTGTTGCTGGGGCATTTGGAAACTTTTGTACAAACCATTCGAATTTCAAGGAACTGTTTCCAGGCTTTACTGCATATCTTCACACCCTTCCCTATTGGTTTCGATGTCCTTTCTTCAGAGAGTACCTCATGAGCAGTGGTAAGTGAAGGCTGTAACACTTCTCCCTATATTGGTGACGGGCAACAGGTCCATCAATCAGCAAACATTTATTAAGTGTCTACTGTGGGCTAAGCACTGGGGGTTCACATACAGTAGTGAAACAGCCCCTGCCTTCAAACACCTTATGTGCTATACAGGGAAACCACAACTATAATTAAGTACATTTTTCAGTCTGTCCAGTTTATATTTTCTTGGGAGGCAACCTCTTCCAAAAACTTCCTTCAGTGATTGATAAAGTCTTTAATGATGTCCCTCATATGGGGATGCTTGAACCTAGAGCTCTGAATCACTGCAGATCCTACTCTAGCCAGGAACCATTTCTCCTTGTTCTGAAGCATTCCACTGGGTAATAGCTAAGGCTGATTCTATCCTTCAGTGAAGCCTGATTGTCTTAACTATCATTCTAATTTAACATCATATGCTTCATAAGAGGCTATGTTTCCTTAGTGGAGGATCCTGACTTCCCCTAGAGCCTGTCAGCATCATATCTGTTTCCTCTGATAGCTAGAAACAGCTTCCTTATTTCTTCTTATTTCAAAGACTTTCTGGGGCTACCCAAGTAGTCCCTTGAACAGAAGACCAATTTTTAAGTTATTTGCAGATTAGAGATGACTGATGGGTAACTGAGTAATCAAACCTTACCCAGCTTAGGTTATCCATTGCACTGAAATCATACAGGCATAAGCTCAGGAATAGTCTACCAGAATATTATCTTTATACTTTAACAATATTAAAATGCCTTCGACATATAATAATCACAACAGATTTAATTTATACCAAGAGAAGAAGGTCATTTCCTTCATAGTAACACATTCTACAAATCTTGCAATCCCCAAAAAAGAGGCCTGCTTAATAACAGAACCTAAATTTCCATCAACCTATACACTAAATTCAGAATAGATGTTTTTGTGCCATTTAAAATATGCTTTAGTTTACTTAAATCTTGTGTAAAATTGAATTAATTTTTCTTTAAAAATGCAAGCCATTGGGCAGATATAAAAGCACATGTGAAAGAGTACCATGACCTTTGCCAGGATTCCAACTTAGGTATGTCTAGGAGAAGAAATAAGGGCTCAGAAGGTAGTATCAGGGGTCAAGCTGTCACTGACATTGTGACTCAATCATTAAACCCAGTCCTTTGGCATGCAGTATAACTAGACCTCAGCAGCTTGTGGTGCAGCCCAATGCACACAATTTTTCACAGGGAAATAATACGTAAGGGAACAGTCATGCAGACAACCAGAAACATCTTACCCAAAGGATCTATGTCCATTGCTATCTACCTGAATGATTTTTGACACATTTCAAAGGTGGGGAACTGGTGGCCCTTTGATGGACTCCAAGTTTGGATTGAAAAGGCTGCACTTGAAGACCTAGAGGGCCACATGTAGCCTCAAGACCACATGTTCCCCACCCCTGTGGCTCAACCTGTGGTTAGCACTTACTGTGTGTACAAAGTGCAGTGCTAGATTATGGAGAAGTTTAGAAAACGATAAACAAGATACCTTAAGTTGCTTAAGTGATATTAAGTCTATATGACATTAAATAGTTGACAAGACCCCTGCTTCTGACTTGGGCGTGCCTTGGAGGAATGGGAATATTGTGCTACATTTGGTGTTTGAGGCTTGAGTTCATATCCTTTGTCAGGTTCTGTACGCCTTAGTTCTCTCATCTGTTAAATGATGGGGTCAGACTATATGACCTATAAGATCTCTTCCAATTCTAAGTCTACGGTCCTCTACAGCTAAGTTGAGCCTTGAGAGTTAGGTCACCAGCAGCCACTGAAGTACTGATGTCCTACAGACTAAGACCTTGAGACTCTTAGCACCAAGACCCACATGATGGAGAAGCCACTTGTGGACCTAGATCACTGTAACCATGTATTCCCCCCATGTCAGAGCTTCTGCCTTGCACTGGCCACAGAATCATGGGAAAGGTTATAAAGAGTAAACAGTAGCAATGTCCCCACTTTTTTATACTTCTTGATTTGCTGAAATCCATGTACCAGAGAATTCCTCATACCTTTGTCCATGTTTCTGTTACAGTCTGTTTCTTGTGGTAACAGCAGTATGTTGTATGGTCAGTGTTGTTACAGTGCATCACCAGTGGACTCACTACTCCATTTTTATTTGAGACAATACTTTATATATCTAAGTGAGGAACCATCAAAGTTCTGTAAATGCCTGCATTTATATCCTAAAAATGGTATTTACTGACCTTAGGATTTAGCTAATCTTCCAAAATTTGTTTTAATATTTTTATGTAATTAGTTACAGCAAGTTGTAGTCTATCAAAAAAATTTTTTTACAAATATTTTAAATGAAAAACAAAAAACAAAATAAGGCATTCCTGAAAAGGGGCAATGGAGGAAATTGGGTTTAAGGCATACTAGTACCACAACAGTACCTTAAAGTAAAATTATTTTATTTTATTTTATTTACCAAGGAGCAGTCTCGGTTTCCAAACAATGTGTATCTCATGTGCTAAGCAAGGAGGAAGGTGGAAACATTTCAGTCATTGTGCTTGGGGGAGCAGAAGAGTCACTGGTTGCACATCCTGGAAGTTTTACTCTGTTTATCAGCCAAAGAAAGGGGTTTATTAAAATGGCTTTGACACATGGGTAGGTAGCTTGTCCATTCTGTTGCCTCTGATGGGAGTGTTCTGCCACATGTCAATCTGACTAGAGAAGTCTTTATGAGAGGGGGTCCTTAAATCTCACTGATCCAGTCCAGTCTGTTTGTAATGGACAAGTACATGTTTGGTGAGTGGGAGCTTTGCACCTTTCTGTTGGGACACCATTTCCAAATATACTATGTTATTTGAAATCACACTTGTATAGGATGTCTGTATAGGTAGGTATACTAATGATCATAAAAGTTCTAAGAACAGAGGCAATATTGGTGTAGTGGACAGAACCCTAGTTTTGGGCAGCAAGACCTGGGTCTGAATCTTATGTCTGCTACATAATAGCTGTCTCTGAGGATTTTCCTCTGATTGATTCTTTTGTGGAGGCAAACTAGGCTATCTTTTGCTTCAGTTCTTTTTTTTTTCTTTTGCAAGGCAATTGGGGTGAAGTGACTTGCCCAGGGTCACACAGCTAGTAAGGGTTATGTGTCTGAAGCCAGATTTGAACTCAGGTCCTCCTGACTCCAGGGCCAGTGCTCCATCCACTGTACCACCTAGCTGCCCCCTTTTGCCTCAGTTCTTACCTAGCCTTTAATCATTGAATGGTTGTGGGCTCAGATAAACTAAGACTTGGGAAAGACCTCAGCTTTAAAAGATCAAGGTTTCCCACTGCATCCAGGGCCATCATCAGTCATCTTGACCTATGTCTTGCCACTGGACTTTGATGACTCTAGAGGAGAGAGCAAGGCTGATTACTTCGCCCAGCCCTGCCTCACATAAATCAAATTCATTTGCAAGTCAAGACATCACCCTCCTGATGTCATTGGTCCTCTTAGAGAACAAAGGACAAACAACAAAATAGCTACGTGATCATAGACATAGGATTTCACTTTTCTGAGGCTCAGTTTCCCTAGCTATACAATGAAGATAGTGATACTTCTAGAACCTATTTCACAGGATTTGTTTTGTTTTGTTTTGTTTTTAGAATCAGATTGGATAATATCAGTGAAGGGCTCTACAAATGTTAGCTATCCTCATTCTTCCATGAAAAATACATTAGAACTTTAATATCATCTAGCTCCCCCTAGAGTGGCATTTAAATATAAAGCTGGCCTGATTTCAAGGTAATCTAGTGAACAAAATCCCAAAAGAACTTTGGGAAATTTTACCTATAAGATAATACCATGCTAAGGACCAAAAAGACATCATTATCATGAGATTTAGGTATATTGATTTTTATTTCAAGGTAACTGGACGGGTTAACATTTTTATATTCCTTTCCTTTTTAAAAAGTTGTTTTTTAATTTTATTTCACCTCTCCTCTGAATTCTTGTGCTTGTTTTACAGGGCTTATTTGGTTCCTGTGTTTTCTTTTGGTGAGAATGAATTGTTTAAACAAGTCAACAATCCTGAAGGGTCATGGCTCAGAACTGTCCAGGAGAAACTGTATCAGAAAGTGGGCTTTACTTTGCCATTATTTCATGCCAGAGGAGTTTTTCAGTACAGTTTTGGCCTGATGCCCTACAGAAAACCTATTTTCACTGTTGGTAGGTATCTTGAAGATGATTATGGGGGTGTTAAAAATCAATAAAAGCATTGCATGGTTAATAGTGTTGATCATTTTTGATAAAAAGATACAAATATAAGAGAAGTCATTTTAAGATAATAGGGCAAATAAGGGATATTGGTAACAGAATTGGAGCAGGAATTTTAAACAGTTTCAATTTGTGATATGCATTATATTTCAGAAGTGACCCTACTTTCCATCTCAGTAGTATTTAATGACTTTTTGAATCTGAGAGCTTTCAGCCTCTTCTGTATTTATGGACTCCTTCCCTAATGCCTATAGACATAACAAGATCTCTCCCATTTATTAAAAAATAATAATAATTTAACTCTTCTTTTCTCTTAAGCTTCTGTCTAATGTCTGTTTTCCATTTCACCATCAGACTCCTTAGAGCAGCTCCATGTTATAGTGAGTAGATACTGGCCTTGGAGTCGGGAAGATCTAGGTTTGAATCCTTCCCTAGACACTTACTAGCTGTGTGACCTTCAACAAGTCAATTAATTTCTATGTGTCTTTGTGATCCTAGAAGAAGACAGCTGCACAGTTACGCTTGTTGCTTCCATGTCCTCACCTCTAGTCCTTTTCTCAGACCCGTACATTTTGATTTGTGAGCCCACCATTCAACTGTAATTGCTTTCCCCAAGGTTAGCAAGGATATCTTAATTGCTAAATCAATCACTATTCATCAGCCCTCATTACTCTTGAATCTTTACAGTGTTGGACATCATTGACCATCACCTCTTTCTGGATGCTTTCTCTTGTCTGGGCTTTTGTGACATTATTCTCTCTTGGTTTTCTTCCTTCCTGTCTTGACTATTCCTTCTCATTCTCTTTTGCTGGATCATCATCCATTTTGTTCTTCCAGGAGTGGGTATATGCCAGGACTCTCCCTGGGACCTGTCCTCTTTGCTATTGACATTTTGGATATTCTCATTTGTTGTTGTTGTTGTTGAGTTGTTTCAGTCATGCTTGACTCTTCATGACCGGATTTGGGGTTTTCTTGGCAAAGATCCTGGAGTAGTTTTGCCATTTCCTTCTCTAGCTCATTTTACAGATGAGGAAACTGAGGCAAACAGGGTTTTTTATTTACTTTTTTTATTTTTTCCATATGCTTTTGAGCTGAAAATTTTTCTCCCTTTTCCTCCCCCCCACCCTCCCCAAGACAGCACACAATCTGACATAGGCTTTACATTTACGTACCCATTAAACATATTTTCACATTAGTGAAGTTGTAAGTAAAAATTAAAACCAATACGAGGAACCATCAGAAAGATGAAACAAAACTCAACAGAAGGTAAAATAAGTGAGAGCGATTCGACTTCCATAGTTCTTTCTTTGGATGTGGACAGCATTATCCATCCCGAGGCCTCTGGAAATATCTTAGATCCTCACAATGCTGAGAAATGTTCAGTTTAACAATCTTAGTCATTGCATAGTGTGACTGTTATTGTGTACAAAGTCCTCTTGGTTCTGCTCACTTCACTCAGCATCAGACTATATAAGTCTTTCCAGGTTTTTCTGAAGTCAGCCTGTTCATCATTTCTTACAGCACAATAGTATTCCATTACATTCATATACCACAACTTGCTCAGCCATTCCCCAATTGATGGGCATCCTCTCAATTTCCAATTCTTTGCCACCACAAAAAGAGCTGCTATGAATATTTTTGTACATGTGGGTCCTTTTCCCATTTGTTTGATCTCTTTGGGATATAGCCCTAGAAGTGCTATTGCTGGATCAAAGGGTATGCACATTTTTGTATCCCTTTGGGCATAGTTCCAAATTGTTCTCCAAAATGGTTGGATCATTTCACAACTCCACCAACAATGTATTAGTGTTCCAATTTTCCAACATCTTCTCCAACATTTATCATTTTCCTGTTTTGTCATGTTGGCCAATCTGATAGGTGTGATGTGGTACCTCAGAGTTGTTTTGATTTGCATTTCTCTAATCAATAATGATTTAGAGCATTTTTTCATATGACTATAGATGGCTTTAATTTCTTCATCTGAGAACTGTCTGTTCATATCCTTTGACCATTTATCAATTGGGAATGGCTTGTGTTCTTATAAATTTGTCTTAATTCTCTATATATTTTAGAAATGAGGCCTTTATCAGAAAGACTGGTTGTAAAAATTCTTTCCCAATTTTCTACCTTCCTTCTAATCTTAGTTGCATTGGCTTTGTTTGTGCAAAAACTTTTCAATTTAATGTAATCAAAATTATCCATTTTGCTTTTCATAATGTTCTCTATCTCCTGTTTGGTCATGAATTCTTCTGTTCTCCATAGATCTGATAGGTAAACTATTCCTTGTTCTCCCAGTTTACTTATGGTATCAGCCTTTATATCTAAGTCCTGAACCCATTTTGACTTTATTTTGGTATATGGTGTGAGATTTGGGTCTATGCCTAGTTTCTGCCATACTCTTTTCCAGTTTTCCCAGCAGTTTTTTTCAAAGAGTGGGTTCTTATCCCAGAAGCTGGGGTCTTTGGGTTTATCAAATAATAGATTACTATAGTCATTGACTACTGTGTCTTGCATATTTAACCTATTCCACTGATCTACCTCCCTATTTCTTAGCCAGTACCAAGCAGTTTTGATGATTGCTGCTTTATAATACAATTTAAGATCTGGAATTGCTAGGCCACCTTCCCCTGCATTTCTTTTCATTAGTTCCTTTGATATTCTGGACCTTTTGTTTTTCCAAATGAATCTTGTTATTATTTTTTCTAACTCTATAAAATAATTTTTTGGTAGTTTGATTGGTATGGAACTGAATAAGTAAATTAGCTTAGGTAGGATTGTCATTTTTATTATATTAGCTCGGTGAGGCAAACAGGATTAAGTGACTTACCCAGGATCACACAGTTAGTAGATGTCTCAGGCGAGATTTGAACTTAGGAAGATGAGTCTTCTTAACTTCAGGCCCACACTTTATCTACTGCAGCGCCACCTAGCTACAGCCCCAGTATATTCAGTTACCTTTATGTGTATGGCCCCCATCTCTTTCCAATCCTGCATTACCAGCTGCCTGGTGGAAATCTTCACCTTGACATCCAATAGGCATGTCAAATACAATATGTCCAAATTGGAGTACACCCTTCCCCCCCCTCTTCTGAAGTCTGTCTATTATTCGGCTTGAATTCACTATGTCTTTTGAGAGCATCACCTTCCTCCTTATCACTGTGAGGTGATCTGATCAGTTGCTAAGTCTTATTAAGTCTACCTCCACAAAATCCCCTGCATTCCTGTTTCCACTCCTATAACCACCAACTAGTTCAAGCCCTTATCCTCTCTGGTCTAAACTACTGAATTAGCATCCTAATCTGTCTCTCTGCTTTGATTTTCTCTCCTCCAATGCATCTTTCATAGAGCCACCAAACTGATATTCCTAAAAGACAAGTCTGACCTGTGATTGTCAATGTCCTACTCTAAAATCATCAGTGATTCCCTATTACCTTTGGGAGAAAATAGATACTTTGGGCTTGACAGCTAGAGTTCTTCCCAGTTGGGCTCTAATCTATCTTTCTCAGCTGATTTCATATTACTGCTCTTCATGAATTCTTCTGTTCTCCATAGATCTGATAGGTAAACATTCCATCTTTCATCTCTGCCTTTTGCCTGAAATGCTTCCCCTCCTCACTTTCACCTTGTGGAATTCTTAGCTCCTTCCCAAGATTAGTTCAAGTGCTATCTTCTATGCAAAACAAGGTGATCCAGTGGATAGAGCCCTGAGCCTGGAGTCAGGAACACCTGAGTTCAAATCCAGCCTCAGATATTTACTAGCTGTGTGACTCTGAGTAAGTCACTTAACTGCTATCTGCCTCAGTTTCATCAACTGCAAAATGGTGATAATAATAGCATTCAACTCCCAAGGTGGTTGTGAGGGTCAAATGAGATAATAATTGTAAAGCACTTAGCACAGTGCCTGGCATATAGTAAATACTATGTAAATGTTAGCTATAAGGTATAGTGCTTCTCAGGTGCTAGCTCCCTTCTACTCCCCCAAAACATTACTTTGTATTTATTTATCTAATACTTGTTGTCATCCTCCCCACTCCCAATGAAATACTAGCTTCTTGAGGGTAGAGATGGTTTCATTTTTGTCTTTGAATCTCTGACATCTAGCATGATGCCTAGCACACGGAAAGCACTTAGTAGATGTTCATTGAATTAAATTCTAGTGTTCTCAATTAGGAATTATTTAATGAATACCCATAAGTTCTGGTCCTAATGTGAAAAAGATATGATATTTCACTAATATAAGGTGCTTGTTTATGCATAAGGCATAAACTTCTTCCATGTAGCAGACTACTTTACTGTGACTTAATAGATAAGTTTCAGATGTTAAGTGACTTGCCCAGGGTCATGCAGCTAGTGTTAGAAGCAGAATTTAAACCTAGGTATTCTGGACTCCAAGCCCAGCATTTTATCCTTTGCACCATGTTGTCTTTAACTTATATCTCTTCCTGTACAAGGAGGCTTTTTCCATGTTCTTGTGGATTCCTAGGTTCTTGCTAATCTAGTCATAGTAAAATATATTAAATGAAAAGTTTGATGTGACAAATGCCTACATCAGCATATGCTCATGTAGGCATTTGTCATGTACAGTAAAGATTGCATCTGGGTATCAGTTCTTTGTAATGTTCAAAAGCTGAGGAAGTATGGCTAGATAGTAAAAGATCTGAGGTTTAATGAAATGCAAGTCACTATGCATCAGCAGCATGATGCAACAGCTAAAAAAAAACAAGAAAGAAACAAGTAAATTTGAGTTCAGGCTTCACTGAGAGAGGCATAGTATTCCCAATGAGGGCATTGATCATGCTTCTGCAGTTTGCCCTGGTCAGACCTGGGAAGTACTTTTTAGGCAGGACATTGATCGCTTGAATCATATCAAGAGGAAGGAGAACAGGATGTTGACGTGATTGGAGACTGTGACATATAAAGATCAAAGGAACTGGGGATGTTTAGCCTGGAGA